TCATGGTTAACTTGTTGTCAACCAGGACTCCCAAATCCCTCTCCGTGGAGCCGCTTTCCAGCGGGTCAACTCCTAATCTGTACCGGTACCTGGGTTATTCCTCCCTGGGTGCAGTACTTTTAAAGAAAAATTTAAATAAAGCAGAGCTAAGCACTAAGATCCACAACAGAGATGGAATGGAAGATTCCTTTCACCATTTCTTTAAATTCCTGCTTTTGGGCTAAAGTAGAGGTGATGGTAACAGGAGGTGCAGCATTCATAACAAACAAACAAAGAAGAAAACCAAGAACACACTGAGACATCCTGACCTCCTCTTTATCCTTCCTTCTGTTCTGAGCACATGAACGCAAGAAAAAAGCTCCAAGGGTTTTAAGAGCCACACTGCAGACCAAACAGCCCCCGGCAGCTCCTTCACCTGGTGATCAGCTTCTGCCTCACACACTTTCAACTCTCCCCACAAGGACAGGTAAAGTTGCTGAAAAGCCAATGTGCAGAGAACGCTCCTGGGATGCCGTGGTGTCGACGCAAGGTCTTAGCAGGGACTAGGCTTGTGACAGAACAGGTAGCACTAAAATTCAGCATGGCTCAGTCAAGCAAGCTCAGGTTTTTGCGTGGATGAGTAACTACAAAGTCTATCCTTTTGCCAATCTCACAAGGGAGATCCTGCAGGGCAGTAAAAACGTTGTTCATGCTTCTTCAAAGCTGTGGCTGATACACACAAATCCAAATGCTCGTGTCCCACATGCAAAGCCAAATATTCTCTGCACTCTAACTGGCTGCAAAGCAGTGTAACAATAAAGCTTACCACAAACAAAAAAATCATCCAGGTACAAAGTCTATCCTTTTGCCAATCTCACAAGGTATCACATTAGATCCTGCAGGGCAGTAAAAACATTGTTCATGCTTCTTCAAAGCTGCAGCTAATACACAGAAGTCCAAATGCTTGTGTCCCACCTACAAAGGCCAAATATTCTTTGCACTCTAACTGGCTGCAAAGCAGTGTAACAACAAGGTTTGCCACAAAAAAAAAATCATCCAGGAACTTCTTTCCCTCCTTTATATGACATCCTATTGCTCGTCACAGATAGGAAGCACTTAAGGAAAATGTTGCTCCCAGAGAAGCAGCCAAACAAAAAAATCATCCAGGTACTTTCCCTCCTTTATATGACATCCTATTGCTCGTCACAGATAGAAAGCACTTAAGGAAAATGTTGCTCCCAGAGAAGCAGCCATATAACCATGAAAAGCCTCAGAAGAGACAAACATGAAGTAATACGACCAAGAGCCTCAACTAAAAATCTTATTCAGGTATTCAGCAGGTCAGAGACAAACAACATCTAAAATCTAGTCTAACTGGCTGCAAAGCAGTGTAACAACAAGGTTTGCCACAAAAAAAAAATCATCCAGGAACTTCTTTCCCTCCTTTATATGACATCCTATTGCTCGTCACAGATAGGAAGCACTTAAGGAAAATGTTGCTCCCAGAGAAGCAGGCATATAACCATGAAAAGCCTCAGAAGAGGCAAACATGAAGTAATACGACCGAGAGCCTCAACTAAAAACCTTATTCAGGTATTTAGTAGGTCAGAGACAAAAAACAACTAAAATCAAGAATATTAAACTAAGTTGACCATGAGGCAGCAGTGTGCCCTCGTGGCCAAGAAGGCCAATGGTGAAGCACCAAAAGTTCCACAGGAACTTAAGGAAAAATTTCTTAACAGTGAGGGTGACAGAGCACTGGAACAGGCTGCCCAGAGAGGTTGTGGAGTCTCCTTCTCTGGAGATCTTCAAAACCCGCTTGGATGCCACCCTGTGCCACGTGCTCTAGGTGACCCTGCATGTGCAGGGGGGTTGGACTAGATGACCTTGAGAGGTCCCTTCCAATCTTAAGCATTCTATTCTATTCTAAACCATAGAGAAAAGCATTTTTCACAAAGGTAAAGACAACTCAAGTTATCTGCACTAGTTCACAGGCAGATGCGAAGTTCTTAATGCAAACCCAAATATTTAATATACTGAAGTTATCCAGAACATCACTGAATCCCAGGTGTTGTTCACTGGACTAATGAGGAAGATTATTATTATTATTATTATTATTACAGAAAAGTTTAGGTTGAATGGGCCTCCTCTGTAGGCCACCTAATGCAGCCTGCTGCTCCAAGCACAGTTAATTTCAGTTGGCTCAGGTTGCTCAAGGTCTTGCACAGACCTTTTCAGGCTTTCAAAATCTCTAAGGATAAAGATTACAGTCTCGGGGCCCCTTTCCAGTGTTTAACTCTAGAACTCCAGCCATAAACAGGAGCTCCTGTCCTAATTAGGTTTTCTAATTAACTCATTTTTGTCAAAGTTCAACTGTCGTACTTCAGGAGCATTTGGATATATCAGCCAGTGGAAACATGCTCAAGTCTGTTGGACTGCCTTGTCGTATTTCAAAATAATTAAAGAAAATAATAATAATGATGAGTGCCAAGAGATCAAGCCAGTCGCATAGTAAAGAGTGAAA